AGGTTTGTCGGACAGCATCCCAAATAGCCTTTGCAGAGGGAAGAAACATACAAGTATCACTGATCTCGGGTGTCATTGAACTCCACAACCATGACATAATCATGGAGTCTTCTTCGTCCCAAGCATCAAAATTTGGCTCGCCCAACTTTTTCCCTGTTCCAAGAAGGTGACTAATTTTTCCTTTTCCCTTGAAATAGGTATGCACTAGTTGTGACCACTTCAAGTAGTTCTGGCCATTCAATCTATATGTTGTCTGAATATTCTGCAAATCACCAGTGTGGATGAGAATTTGTTGCTCCTTCATCGGTTTGGACGGGAGCACTTGTTGCAGTCATGTCGGACATTGTTAATGGAGGAAAAATAAGGCCAATAGGAAAGGAGAATAAGGGAGGGAAGAACTGGCAGGAATAAAGGAGAATAAAGGAACACTTCTGGTTACAGATCAGCACTGAAGGCCAAAAGAGAAAAACACGAAAAACTAGCAATGAAGGCCGAAAAAAAATCTCAAGGTTGACAAACCTAGAAATCTGATACCATGTTTTGGAATGGTAGAATACTAATATGTTTCATTCTATTGCCAATCGACATATTTATACAGTAAGCTGCTGCAATAAATAGAAAGAAGAAAAAACTAGAAAGAAAAGAAAATAGAAAGTAGAAAAATAGAAAGAAAAGAAAATAGAAAGTACAAGAATAGAAAGAAAAACTTTCTAAATCAATCCTTCCACAATCCTAGGAATATATACAATTCTATTTTTACACAACTACCAAATATAGATCTACACCAGTAACCCCACGTTTTCCAACAGTAACTTTGCTACAACCTTCCATGCTTCCTCTCTTACTTCAAAGTCCCCCTGGATTATCGACTTTGGTGCATTGAACCATATGAAGGAAAAGTCCAACTTATTTCAGTCCTATTGTCTTTTGTCTGGGAGAGATAAGGTGAGACTTGCTGATGGCTCATTCTCCACCATAACTGGTCATGGAACTATTTCTCTCCCATTGGGCCTTAGTTTTTCAAATGTATTGCATGTACCTCAACTTCCCATAAACTTGTTTTCCATTAGTAGCATTGCAAATTCATTGAACTACTCAATAACCTTCTTTCCATCCTCTTGTGTTATTATACAGGATCAGATCTCAGGGGTGGCGATTGGTAGAGGAAGTATCGTCGATGGTCTCTATGTGTTGGAGAATAAAACTGGTTCAGAAGTTACAGAGTCGGGTCTTGCAACTATAGTCTTTGAGTTAGTCTAGTATGAGTCAGGTTTATCTATGGCATCTTGGTCATTTATCTTTTGAGTCATTGAGAATTTTGTTTCCAGACTTGTTTAAGTCAGTGCCAGTGTCTGAATTGAAATGCCAAACTTGTCAACTGAGCAAACATTGTAGAAATCATTTTCCTTCAAAGAGTAATAAAGTTGAATTTCCTTTTCGTATTATTCATTATGATGTTTGGGGCCCTGTTACTCTATCCTCCGAGACTGGCTATAAATATTTTATTACCCTTATTGATGACCATTCTAGATGAGGTTCCAAAAGTTGCAAAAGATTTTCAATGTATGATATTTACCCAATTTCAAATTGAAATCCAAATCTTCCGGTCTAACAATGCAAAGGAGTATTTCCATTCTCATCTCACTGAGTTCTTCACCTCACATGGATCCCTTCATCACAGTTCATGTGCTAGAAAACCCCAAAAGAATGGGGTTGTAGAAAGAAAAACCGTCACCTTCTTGAAGTTGGTCATGCTATTCCGTGTGTTTTCTTGGGTTACCCTTCTATTCAAAAGGGTTACCATTGTTATGATTTATGACCCTGTTTCCTGAAAGTACTGTCTCTGTGGATGCGTCTTTTTTTGAGAATGAGCCTTACTTTCCTGTTTCTCCTCAGGAGAGTAGGATTGAGGAGAAACACAAGCGAGTGCATCTTCCTTCTCTTCCTGATCCTCCTCCATTCTGTCTATTTCTTCGTCACCGAAAGGACCACTTGAGTTCAAAAGCAGTAGAGCAACCTGAAGCTATAGCACTAACATCATTGGAGTCACCAAAGGCAGATCCTTTCCTACCGGGTACCATTATTCCCATTATGCCTGAACCTATTGATGTAAACACTTCCATTACTGATGACCTTGATCTTCCTATTGCTAAAAGAAAGGGTGTCAGATGTTGTTCCACCAAATACCCTATTTCCCATTTTGTATCCTATGAGGGCATCTCACCTTTCCATGCTTTTCTTTCCTCCATAGACAATGTCCTTATCCCTAAGAATGTAGTAGATGCCTTGTTAGTACCTGAGTGAACAGATGCAATGAAAGAGGAAATAAATGCTCTACATAAAAATGGTACATAGGAGTTGGTGGACTTTCTTGAAGGAAAAGAACTAATAGGGTGTAAGTAGGTATTTACTGTGAAACGCAGAGCTGATGGCACAGTGGAAAGATATAAAGCTAAGTTAGTGGCAAAGGGGTTCACACATGTATATGGAGTTGATTATGCTGAAGACTTTTGCCCCGATGGCCAAGATGAACTCCATTAGGTTCCTCATTTCCTTGGCTACCAACTTTGACTGGGAACTTCATTAGTTAGATATTAAGAATGCTGTTTTTGAATGGTGATATAGAGGAAGAAGTGAATAACTGTATATGATCCAATATTCTGGCTTTTGTACTAAAGGCAGTGAGTAGAAAGTGTGCAAATTGAAGAAGTCTCTATATGGATTGAAACAATCACCAAGGGCTTGGTTCAGTAAGTTCCACTTAGTTGTGTAGCATATTGGTTTTAAACAGTGTCAGTCAGATCATACATTATTTGTGAAGAGAGGAGAAGGAAAAATTGTGGCCGTAATTGTGTATGTTGATGAGATAGTTATCACTAGAGATTGGAGAAGTGAATTGTGAAGCTGAAGAAATTTTTAGCTACTCAGTTTGAGGTGAAAGATCTAGGCCCCTTGAAGTTTTTTCTTGGAATTGAAGTTGCTTGCTTGGAGAAGGGTAACTTCATTTTTCAAAGGGAATACATGCTAGATCTTTAGGACACAGGTAAACTGGGAGTGAAGCTAGCTGATTCTCCTATTGAACCTAATCACAAGTTGAGCGATGTTGACAGAGAGACAATAAAGGATGCGAATCAGTTCTAGAGACTTGTGGGAAAGATTTTGTATTTGTCTACAACTAGACTAGACATTGCACACACAATAGGTGTCCTTGGCCAGTTCATGCATGCCCCTAAGGCCCACATGGATGCTGTAGAAAGGATTCTGAGGTATCTCAAGAAGTGTCTAAGGGCTGGTTTACTCTTCCAGAAACATGGACATTTGAAGGTGGGGGTGTATACATATGCTGATTGGGCTAGGCCTGTAATTGATAGGAAATCCACTAGTGGGTATTGCACTTTTGTGGGTGGAAACCTTGTCACATGGAGTAAGAAGCAAAGTGTGGTTGCAAGATCTACTGCAAAAGCAGAATACAGAGCCATGTCCCATGGCGTTGTTGAAATGTTGTGCATAAAAAATTTGTTAAGTGAGTTGGGATTTGTTATTAACAGCCCTATGTCATTGTACTGTGACAACAATGCAACCATCAATATTGCTGCCAATCCTGTTCTACATGATGGAACCAGGCACATTGAAGTGGATAAACATTCCATCAGGGAGAAAATTGTAAGTGGGGGAGTATGACTCCTTATGTCAGCTCTGAAGAACAGGTTGCAGACATCTTCACAAAGGGCCTTCAATACCTATGGCACAATGACTTGTGTGACAAGTTGGACATGATTGATATCTATGTCCCAACTTGAGGGGGAGTGTTAACAGTAGAAGTACTATGCCGTAGGGGCATTTCTGTCATTGTATCTATATTTTTATGTTGCCCTAATATAAATAGAAGTGCTGGCGCTGCCATCCCATCTCCTCTCTTCTTCCTTTTCTCTTGCCTCTTCTCACTTCTTTCTACTGTTATTTAACTTTTACTAAGAAAACAGTAAGCTTTCCAAATCCTTCCGTCTCCCCCTTTCAAAATTATTATATTTTCACAAACATTTTTTTTTTCCGATTTGCGACCAATAATTTCTTGTTTCTATCAGTGTTTTAAAAATGAATAAGGTTTATGCCTTGATCCATCCCTCAGAGCAAGGCTGAAGAAAAATGCTTCAAGGCTCAACCTTGACAATCATACCTGAAAGTGTAAAGAACATTTCTTTTATATGTATGCATGTTCAAACATCTCTGTGTATGAGCTTGTATCTATGATTTAGCATATTTAAAGAATGTGATAGCTCTCTCTAAAGCTCCTAATATTCTCAACTTCATTGTTAATGCAATCATTTTATTCACTTATGTGCTTCTCTGACATAAAAATACACTCTGCTTATGCATGTTTCTATACTTTTCCTAATATTAGTTTGATGTTTTTCTTAAGAATCAATAGGCCTCATGGTCTAAAGATCCTAGCACCTTGCCTCATACCTCCATGTTTTCAAACATTGGTTTCTATATCCATAGACAAACAAATACAATGTACACCCTAAATTCACAAGAATAATATTATGAAATGGTAAACTTATGAGCCAAGTATTTCATTATAAAGGTGAATTAACAATAAAATAACAGAATAAATTGTTTAAAGAAACAAAATTCCCCAGAATATTGCAGAGTGCAAAATTACCTTGTCCATAATGGTACTAAGAAGTCTCACACCAATTGGCTGCATGTTTTCGAACTGAATCGTACTTATCTATCAAATATAGAGTTGACAGGATTATCAATATCCATGAATGAGATAAGAACTTTGGTGTAGAGGTATCCATGGGGTTTAATGTACAATTATTTGTTTTTAAGGACCTGATATGCAAGTGCAACTAGCTCTTGTATGTGCAAAACTAGCCAATCACCAGAAGATTGTTCAATAGTAGACTGTCTTCTTGCCAAAGATAAGTCAAAATGAGCAGGTTCCCTTCCAACAGCTCCAGGTAAGTGGCTTAAACACCTATGCTTTCAAACAATGTGTTTTGGTTAAATTTAACAGAGGTTGTGCATAAAGATGAAAACAGAGTCAATCAGAATAAAGAGAACATAGTAGTTATAGTCAAAATCAGAACATTGAGTTGGCTCAACTGAAAAAATGATTTTGAAGTTTAAAAGTCATAAAAATGACAAGGACCACAATAAAAAAAAGGAAAATTGATATAGCATGATAGACATCAATAATAAGCCTGAATACCAAAAATCATTTAATTACTTGGTTAAGGTACACTCAATGATAAGCAAAAGAAGACAAAATGTCAATAAGATAAGGTGATATCAATGATATGATAATTCAATTTGCTTTTTGGGGCTTGCCTTGCCCAAGCGCAAGTGATGTATATGCAACTTACACAAAATTTTTATAATATTGTTGTACTTTTATATTTTGAGTATATAATATTAAGATGGACATGCTACACTCTTTATTTCTTTCATAAAATGACATGTTCCAATTGAATTAATTAATCTCTCTCATAATTCTCTTTTTCTCTTCTTTTCCTTTTGTCTATTACAGCAATACTCCAATTCCTATATAAAGTACCATATGGTGAAGGAAATTAGAGAACAAGCATCACAGTAAACAGTTTACGAAGTCAACTGTGGAAACAAAAGCACATACTCTGCAGCAAAGACTCTAGTCCGATATCTGAGATGCTTCTCTCTTTTAGGAACATGGGAAGAATCACTGGTGGAACCTTGTATCTGCCTGTCAGTAGAGCTATGAACCATGTTTTCTTCATCATCTACGTAATATAAACTTGCATCACCATCTGGACCATTTAGAGTATCATGTTCCAATTTCCTAGGACCATTTTGTCCTGCTGACATTGCAAGAACCTAATACAAATTTCAAGAAACATGTTAATAAGCACAGATGAGCCTGGCATTGCAAATAAGTTCAATGTCATGTCAAGTTAGGCCAAAGCCAAGCCTAATATGTCAATAGGAAAATAATACATCTTAATTCAAAAATTAGGAGGCTTACAATGTTACGGCATATTGATATCCAACGTGATGGACATGAGGGGCAGGATGTGTAAAGCAATCGAGTAATAGTAGCACATACCAAATTCACAATCCTAGAAGAATTATAGAATTTAATCAATGACATTGCAAATGGCTAAAGGAAATAAACATCATAAAATGAATGAAACAATTCAATAGAGAAATAAGCCTAAAATTCCATGATCAATATCATGAAAATCATGCTATTATGTGGTCCAACCTATAAATTTCATTCTAATGAACTATGACCAAGAAAATAATCTACAAGTGACAAACTCATGGTTAATTGTGTATACATGACACTATGACAGACATGGTACCATGTCTCGGTCTGTCATAAAGAACACATTTTTTTGATCAATAACTGAAAAGGATTCATTAAATAAAATTAAAGAAATACAAAGAAAAGGGAGAGGTAAACTCTCTTAACCCTCCCAAAACAGTATGACATGTTTACAACATAACCCAAAATAGTTGATTCCTTCCCACCCTTAGCCAGCACATCAGAAAAGAAATTAGCATCTCTTTTCACCCAATGCAGATTGACTTCGATTCCTTGTGACAACCACTTAAACTTTCTTTTTTCATTAATGTAATCCCACCAACCAGCAGCCTCCTTTTGCAGCCAGCTTATAACCAGCTTTGAGTCCCTTTCAATTATCAGTTTGTGAATATTCCCTTGGCCTTTTGAACTTCTTCCAATGACAATTAGAATTTCAGCCCTCAAAACTCCTCCAATGCCTGAAGGGCCTGGATTTCCTTCACTACTTCCATCAAAGTTTAGCTTAATGAATCAATTGATTGGTGGAGACCATGATGACCTCATGGCAGCCTTGAAAGGGGCAGAATCAGCCACTTCCTTCCAGTTTCTCACCAAATCGACAGCAGAGATATCCTCAAAGATTTTTAGTGTTTTCACCAAAGGATCACTCTAATAATCATAAAGAACACATTAAACATTTAAACCTATTCTATTGCTTATCAAAAAATAAAATAAAATAAAATAAAGAACTTGTTGCATTGAAATTTTAATAAAATTTAACAAAAGGAATATAGCACCCTAGAATAGATTTTTCATTTTTTCATTAATAATAACTAATTGATGACTAAAAGAAATACTGTTAGCACTGCAGAACAAGATACAAATGGGAACTAGAAGACAACTAAATTAATAATGAAATACTTCATACACCAAAAGACAACTATGGCATATAGTATATAGATCAGAAAATAATTCATCAAGATATAACTCCATCCAAAACAAAGAAATGCAAAAAGAATAATGATGAGTTTGTGATATACTCAGGATCAGTTTCCTCATCAAGCATATGGAACAAGTTCTCTTCTATTTTCTCATCAACAATTGCATCCTGAAAAGAGTAATGCCAGTGTTTAGGTCAGACAAAGATTAAAAATTTCAGTTTCAAACATAAATGATAACAGACAATTAATTGAATATGCGAGTAAAAGTATGTTAGAAAAGCTTTAACTCCAACTTATGCTCTGGCTAAATCAATAAAAAGATATAAAAAAGGAGAGAAAAACCAAAAAGAGAATTATAACACATATAAAGACAGGGACCCACAAAAAACATATACAAAGATAGGTGATACAATTTAGTTTAATTATAGGGCCACCCCTATATTTATGGAGTGAACATGTTGAATGGGATAATGAAATTAGATAATGAATTCATCCCATATATACACTATTTGGTGAGGAGGGTGGATATGGTGAAATGTAGAGTTGGAAACTTCATTAACTCTGCCCAAGCCCTTAATATGTACATCCCATTTGAAGGAGTAGGAGGAGGTCTCATGAGAGCCTAAGACTCCAAGTGCCCAATTACTTTAGTTCTATCAGGCTTTAGATTATGAGAAACATTGATTGCTGCTTGATTATCACAAAATGTTTTAATAGGACTTTAATGTAATGCCAAAGTTAGCAAAAGAATCTTCAAATAAAGCAACAAGGACATTTCATTGTTTAAGGTCCTATATTTTACTTCATCAGTAGATCTAGCAATGATAAATTATTTTTTGCTTCTCTAAAACACTACACTAGGTTACCACCCAGAAAAGTACAATAATTTGAAATGGATTTCCTGTTATTCATAGAATATGCCCAATCTGCATGAATTCTTCCAGTGGATCACCTGTTACAAATGAGGTTCAGAGGTTCCTCTTAATAAAGCATCTCTTAAGTAAGCCAGGATACTCCCAGCGGCTTTCAGAAGAGGAACTAGTCACTAATGTATGTATTGGTTCCCCACACAATCCTAAGGAAGTTTTCTCCTGTGCCTCTTTTTTCTCTTGTGTTCATTCCCTACCCCTCAGCCTTGTCCTGTGAAAGAAATTTGGTCCATACCATTCCTCCCAAGGTAGGGGCCTTGTGTTGGGAAGTTCTTCATGGAAAAATCAACACTTTGGATGCCCTGCAGAAAAAAAAACCTAATATGTGTTTCTCCCCATATTGGTGTACCTTTTGCAAAGCAAATGGAGAAAGTTGTTACTGCATTCTAATCTCCTGCCCCTTTATTGTAGGTATCTGGGAAAAGACTTTGGGTTTTTTGGGTAACAGGTGGACTGTGCCCCCACGGATTGGTAGTTTCTTTGACCCTACGACCTTTAGCTGGCTGAAGAAAAGAGGTAAAGTTATGTGGAGATGTGCTCAGGCTGCATTGATTTGGACAGTATGGGAGGAAAGGAACAACAGAATTTTCATTGGTAAAGAATGTGTTGTAAGTAGGGCCATACATTGGACCAAATCGTTAGATCTTTTCTTAGAGTTCTATGGAGAAATTGGGAAGCTGTAGCAAGAAGTTCTGTTAGGAAGGGTAAACCAATTGCAGTCTGGACTACCTCGATAGAAGGTTTTATTAAACTAAATTTTGATAGCAGTTGTCGTAGAAACCCAGGGCCAACTGGCATTGTAGGAGTCTTTAGAAATTCTGATGGGCACATTCTTGCTGTTTCCTCAGGCCCTGTTGGAGAAGGCGATTCAGTGTATGCTACATTCAAAGCAGTCTTATAAGGAGTACAAATTGCTAGAGACTTAAAATTTGACAGATTGGTAGTTGAGGGTGACTCTAAGCTGGTACTAAGGTGGCTGAAGGAACCGGAAACAGTGGTTTGGAAATATAGAGATTCTATGAAAAGATTTAAATGGCTAATTAGAGATATGACAATTATTGTTCAATGGGAAAGGAGGTCAGCAAATGAGTTAGCTGACTTTTTTGCAAAACAGGGGGTGCATTAGTCTGAATTGTTTGTGGCTCAAATGTATTCTGATTCTGTAATGGGGGCTGCATCTCATGCCTCTGTTTGAATGTTGTCACTGTAACACCGTTATTTCTCTTAATAAAATTTTCATCACTCATAAAAAAAAAGTCAAACATAAATATAACAACCTTCAAACCAATAATTGATATTATCCTTATTTTCAAGTAGTTCACTTCATCAGCAAGACATATTTCCATTGAGAAATAAAGACTAAAAACATATCTCCATTGAGAAAAAAATCCCTTTTTTAGATGCTGCCACCTAAATGTCTAAAGAACATTTCAGACAATCAAGATCTTTAATCTCAAATGTAGAAACTAGAAACCATATTTTTTTTAGTAACTCAAATTATATTACTTATAAGAAAGTATGCTGGCAGTATAAAATGTCGATAATACATATGTAAAAATATGTCCCTCACATCCTCTTGATTAACAAACTGTGGAAAAACGAGGAACCCACTTAACATTTGCTCCCAGTTCACCTAACATCTCCTTTATTTTCCTAACAACATATCTGTATTTCCAAAAGACCTAATGTCCGACTGACAACCCAGCTATAACTGCTGAATCTCCTTCAATTACAAGATTTCTGAAGTTCAGAGATTTTTCCCTTCAATAAATGGTAGCTGAAACTACACTAGTAGATGAGGAGTCAACCCCTGTTTCCACATTTTCATGATGTCATATGATGTACAAGGTAAGAAAAGCTCCAGTCTTCACCTAGTGAACACGATGGGCTACATCAATAATCCCCGTTACCTTCCAAAAAATAAATAAATAAATAAATAAATAAATAATCCACCCTGTTACTGTTGAAGAGCCTAACATCTCTCTCTTGCCTCACACACTAATACATTATCTATGACTTCATCAATAGTTCTCCACTAAACCCTAAACCATTAAACCTATGCCCAAACACCAAAACCTAAACCCTAAACCCCAAATCCAAAGCCCTAAACTATAAATCCCAAACCCTAAACCACTAAACCTTAACCCCAAATCCTGAACTATAAACCCTATACCCTAAAACCTCAAACCCCAAACCCTAAACATTAAAAACTCCAAACCCTAAACTCTAAAACTCCATACCCAAACCCTAAACCCTAAACTCCAAATCCTAAAACCCTAAACCCTAAAACCCTCTCTTCTTGGAAGAGGAGAAATGAGAATTAAGGAGCAACCTCAAATCCACGAGAGTAGACCATTTGCACTAGAGAAAGAAAAAGAAAATTCCAAATAGAATACAGAAAATGACATGATATTAGCAAATGGAATGAGTTTTCATGTTTACCTGCAAAGGAGGCATAAGTGTGGTGATAGAGACCAAAATTGTTTTTTATTTTGCAAGCTAGTATTTATTCTAATTGGAAAAACCCCAACAAATGCCCTTATCTTATGTGGTATTGGCCCTATCCAAATGGCATTCACCAGAAACATCCATCTAAAGATGTCCTTTAAGGAAACCTTCTTGACATATAGCTAATACAACTTGCAGAAATAAGTTGTTACAAGAGAAAGGAGCATATAAATACAATTTGTCTATACAACAAGAGGAAAAATTAACTGTTAGTAAATCCTTTAGCTATTAGCCTAGCTTTGTACCTCTCAGTACCATCAACATTAAACAGTTATATTTGACTGTAAAGATACACTTGCACCCTATGAATTCCATGTCTTTTGGAAGATTAACTAGTTCTAAGCTATGGTTCTTTAGAAGAATACCATCTACTGTCTCATAATTTTCTATGAAAATCTCTAACAAAATCAAAGTTACAGTTTCATCGTTTTCTGATGGTGTGTTTGCTAGTGATCTGTGACTACAACTTGTAGAGAGTGTAGCAATCAAAGTCTTGGACTAATTTCTCCAGGCCATATTTAACATCAGCTGATGTACGACCACTTCTTGGGTTGTGTAAGAAGTTGACTTGGTATTCCTGCAACCTATAATCCTTTTATGACCAGATCTAGAGTGCTGTCACTGGTTTAAAAGGCTGTAGATGAAGGGACAGTTATCTCGGGAAGTATGCACTTGCCTTGGAGAAATCATTCTTGCCTAGAATATTTGAACAATAGGAGGAGACTAATGCCATTGGCATCTAATGATCAGAAGAGTGGATCTAGAAATTATATGGGGCTGGTGAAAGTCCCAATGTTTAAATCATGAATGTTGAACTGAACGGGAATAATTTTCTGGAGTGGTCTCAATCAACAAAATTTTATGTGGGAGGGTGGTGAAGATGGGGTATCTTACTAGGGAGAAAGTAAATCTAATGGCATTGCCATTAGATTACTAGGAAGATGTGGTGTCTTACTAGGAGGAAGTAAATCAAATGGAGTGGTCTCAAGCATGCACCTTCCAATTTGATGATCCAGTTTATTTGAGATGATAATAAGAAAATCCAATAGTAATGACTGGTTAGTTCTGTGCAGCTATAGATTGCTACGAATAAAATGCTGTTGTCAACTGCCAAACACATCTAGGACAGGCTGAGTACAAGATAGGGCCTATTTGGGAGAGCTAAACTGAACATTCAGCTAGGCTGGTCCAGTTGCTTTGAGGTTCTCTGGAAAAGTTATCTAAAGAGGCTGAAGCAGACAGCCCAAAAAATGACTGACTGAAAGCCGACTTAGGTTCTCCGGATTTTTCACCAAACATAGCTTAAAGGCTGTCTGTGTAGTGCCCTCCAATCAGGCACTTATTCATAGGCAAGGAATATAACTCGAGTATATTAGCCTCGTAGGGAAGAGCATTGGACAAGGGGAGTGTAAAAGTAAAAGAACTTAGGAGTCCTTTTTTCTCTCCAATTAATATTTTCTTATACTTGTGCTTGTGCTTGAGTCTTCTGCCTTTGTTAACTCCACTATTGTTCAACTGCCTCTTAGTGTTTCCTCTGATATGCGAGGAAAAGATCTACAGGTGTACACTAGGAGTAAGAAGATTCTAGAGACTAAACATCAACTACAATTTAGTTCCTCAGGCTCAGGTATCCATTATCCTCTTTTCCTCTTGATTTTGACCCATTACTTGCTACTTCAATTGATCTTGACTTACCCATTACTCTTAGTGAAGGATAAAGGCAATGCACCCGGCCTTCTACCAACATATCCTATCCAATTTTAATTAATGTTTCTTATGATAACTTATCTCCATCCTATGGTGCCTTTCTTTCCACTTTGTCTTCTATTGCTATGTCTTAAAATGTCAAAGTTGTTAAGTATTCAAGATGTCATGGGCTGGGAGATGGATGCTCCTGAAAAGAATCAAACTTGTGAGTTAGGTGGCATTCAGTAAATCTGAAGTCTGAAAAGCACAAAAAAACCTCTGGAAAATCTCTAAAAGCATTCAGTGGAGAATTGACACTTTTGCTTTTGCAAACATCTGAATATAGTGGAGTTGTCAGGTAATCTGAGATTCTGAATGTCATGCTGTCTGAAAAATGTTTGTTTTACAAATTTATCCCTCAAGTTGTTATTTAAATAACAATAAATGAAAATGATTAAAATATTATATAAAATACTATAAAATAATAAAAAGTTAAATATAAAATAAATAAAATAAAAAATAAATAATATTAAATGATTAATATTATATAAATAATAAAAAAGATTAATAAATAATATTAAACAATAAAATAATAAGAAGTTATGAAAGCAATAAAAATATTAATAAAAATTAAATAATAAAATAAAACAAATAGTAACCAGCCTCTCCTTTTATTCGGAGGAGTTTTTGAAGGTAAATAATTCCACTTTCCACTCCTCTCAAGTCTCTTCTCCTTCCCAAACACGGCTTCCTCTGTTAATGATTTCTTCTCCTGAATGCCGCTGTACTGTTTGGGGTCTTCATAGTTCTCTGGATTCTGGACGATGACCTCCGCTTCCCTCTTCTCACTCATTCCTGGTCTTGGGCTTCCTGGGCCTTACAGCTCTAGTTATTGAAAATTCAGAGTTTCAGGGTGATTTCTACATCTGGGTTATGGTTGGTTTAATGTTTTCACTTCTCTTTGAATGAAATTGAGAAGGTGGTCAATGAAATCTTGTCGTTTTGGGTTCTTGAGATCTTGTGTTTTCATGGTCCTTTTCTGGTTTGTTGATTCAGCAGAGGTGGAGGGAGGAACAGAGGAGAAAGGGAAGAGGGAAGAAGACTAATACAGAGTAAAATAGGTTTTTCAAAAATTATAAATGTGTATTTTTGGGAAAAAAATATCGTCGGCTACCTCTGAGCGTGTTCGGAGGTAGCAGATCCATTGAATCATTTTGAGGAGTTTTCAGATTTTAGAGGGTGAGTTCGGAGGTGCTACCGAACGATCCCAAAGCATCGAAAAACAAAAATTTTGGTGTTCAGAGGTCGAGTCAGTGCTACCGAACACCACCTTAGTTAAACTTCTTTTGGGTAAAGAACCTATTGGTGGTAACTAGGTTTATACTGTGAAATACAATGCCGGTGGTTCCATTAAAAGATATGAGGCCCATTTTGCAAATGGGTATACTTAGACTTGTAAAATTGATTATCAAGAAACCTTTACTACTGAGGCCAAGATGAAGTCCATTTGATTTCTCATATCCCTTGCTGCCCAATTTTTGGCCTCTATGTCAGATAGATGTCAACACCCTTCCTTAATTGGAGACCTTCTAGAAGTTTACATGTACCACCTAGTGTATCTATTCTTGGAATTTAGGGGCATAATTGTAAATCAAAGAAGTTGATTTATGGCTAGAAACAGCTATCTAGAGCCAGGTTTATAGATTTAGAGAAACTATTCAGAGGGTTGGATTTATAATAGTCACATGATAATAATATTCTACAAAGTGACATGGTAGTTTGGTGACCATTCTGATTGTCTATGTTGGTTATATATCTGTTACAGGAAACATCACAAAAATTTTTTGAGTTAGAATTCAACGATTTAGGAGAGATCAGATATGTCTTGGGATTTGGGAATTAAATAACAATGTATAGAGAGGGTATATAAATTTCTGGATGAAAATATATTCTGGACCTGTATAATGATACAGGGAAACTTGTAGCCACACAGTACACACCAATTGACACTCCTATAAATCCCAACCACAAGAAATGTAGGAATAATGATGATATAGCATTGGACAAAGGGAATGCCCCAGAGACAAGTTGGTAGACTACAGCTATGTATCACTTGACCTGACATTTCTTGTGTTGTCAGTGTGGTTAGTAAATATCAACCTAGGTTGCCTCGCTTAGCAGCAGTTACTTGGATTATTATATGTTTATCATGGCCATCTCAGGGTTAAGGCCAATATTTATGCAAATTAGGCAGGGACTATAATATGTTTATCAACCTGCTCTAATACATTATTATGAGATGGAAAAAGAAAAGAGAATGTAAAACAAAATCAAGAGTTGCAAAGAGTAAAGTACTTACCTTTCTCAGATCAGAAAAGATTAATATTAGAAAGAAACATTTTTTTTTGATCAGCAATACTAGAAAAAAACAAACATGACAATGCTGATGTTATGCAGATACCCTTCATTGGGTGCTTTAGCAAAGAGACTTTGTCTAAATAGTTCATTATAATAGATACCCTTTAACTTACACCTTATAGCATTGCAGTCACTTTCAACAGCATAAAAGGATTCAAGCATTGGGTATTTAATATGATGCCACAATCAGTTACTGAGATACAGCAAAAGCATGGCTGGACAAAGCATTGGATACAGGATTTACACTATGTCTGACACAATATGGTACTTTTGTACAGGTATCATAGTATCATAGGTTACAAGAACAGGAAATGGAAAAGATAAAATAAAAGGGTGCAGATTAGAAAAATGGTTAGTTCCTCACCGGATCCTTTTCAATAAGATGTCGAAGTGTGGAAACAGCTAGATGTCTAAGAGTTGGCTGTAACATAAAAACATATATATATTTTTAAAGATGATAAATTTTAAGATAACTACCAAAGAAATTCAATTCAAGATGGTAAACAGAACCTGTCTGGAGGACAGTGTTGGGAGTAGGGTTTGCACATGGGAGTGCACAGACACAGCTTGTGGGGCGAAAAGAACAAGTTGTTGCATGAATCGCACACTCCTGGAGAGTTAATGGTAATTATTCCCATTGGAATACCCAACACAAAAGTTAACCACCTTATCAAATATTCACCATATAATTCTTCACAATTGCATATGAAAGTTTAAGGTGAAAACAAAGAAAATGATAAAGAAAATAAAACAGTATTTAAAGGAATAACTAGGTAACATACTCAAGAAGTGTTGATGTTTCTTGCCCAGAGCTTATCTCTGCAACAACAGACTGCATGGACATACATTATCAGCATGAAGACTATATGCATGAATCACAAACTAAAAAACCAATCAGAAAGTTGTCAGCAACTGAAGAATTGTTCATTAACATATTGAAAAACCTTGCAACGTGAAAAGAAAATACTCCCAGGAGCAAGCTCAGGACCAAGAACAGCAACAATAGCATTTATAAGGCGGCCGATCCCCTGATGAAGATCAACCCATCCATTCTCCTCAGACAAAAGAATTTCCATACCAAGCAACAGTGTTGCCTACAAAAACAATATTCACAGAAGAAAGTAATGAAAAAATAAAGGTTTACGATACAAATAAAGAAAGTAATGAATCAACCCATCAATCTATGTCAGTATGCAATGCTGACTATATCATGTTATGATAATGGTTCTCAATTTGCAGGTTACATGGAGTCACCCCATGCCTTATCATTTGGCAACTACAGTTGGAATGCAATGCAAGGATATTTTATCATAATCTGGATATCTTACAAAAAAGAAGGAAAAATGTGTGTTTGTCCCCAAACTGGTGCATATTCTATAAGACACATGGTGAAACTGTTGAACACCTTTTTATCATCTGTCCCTTTGTTACCTCTTGTTTGGAATTGGTGTTTCTCTCTTTTTGGTTGCAGATTGACTACACCTACAAGTTTGGAGACCTTGTTTGCAGGTGCAACATTCAGATGGCCAAGGAAGTGAGGAAAAGTTTTATGGAGGTGCACTAGGGCTTCTGTACTGTGGACTGTTTGGGAAGAAAGAAATGCAAGAATCATCAAGGAAGACGAAAGACATTTGGAAGCTCTTATGGATTGTATCCTAATACGGGTGATACATTGAGTCAAATCATTAGAACTGTTTTCACCTTATACCGTTGATGATCTAAAAAGAAATTGGAGGGAAGTGACATCTTCATTTACAAGAAAAGAGAAAATCAACAAACCGTGGACACTTCCCTCAGAAAGCTTTATTAAACTTAATTTTGATGGAAGGAGTCTCAGCAATCCAGGCCCCTCAGGCATTGGGGGAGTATTTAGAGATGGAGAAGGGAATATATTAACCATTTATTCGGGCCCTATTGGTTTAGGGGATTCCTTTAGAGACGAATTGCTTGCTGTCTTGTGTGGGGCTCAAATAGCAAAAGAGATAAACCTGGAAAGGCTGATTGTAAAAGAGATTCTCAAGTGGTGATTAGTTGCTAAAGGATGTAAAGAAGGCAGCATGGGTTCACCGGGAAGGGTTTAAGAAAATCTTATGGCTTTTGAGGGGAATATTAGTGATGTTTCATTGGGCTCCAGGGGAGGCAAATGGGAGAGCAGATTTTCTAGCTATGCAAGGGGTTGATGGGAAACATTTGTATTGGGCTCATCAGTGATTTTGTATTTTTTGGGGTAATCTCACCCCTTTCATATTCTTTGTACATTAATGAACATTTTTCACTATTAACCATAAAAGAAAGCCATTAGAATCTCACTGGTGAAGTTAAATCTTGCTCCATCATTTGAATTGTTGAAATTAGTTGACTGATCTTAGGATGCAACTTTGTTGGCCCAGGTTTAAGTGTTATTGGCACATCACTTCATGGATATATTAGAAGAAAAACAGCCTTTTGAAAAGAAATGACTGTTTAAAAAGTTGCAGAAAATCAAAAGGAAGTAGCAGAAATCAGGTTTCAAGAAGAGAGAAGAAGAAGAAGGTGGCGGCAACTAAGGTTCAGAGAGAGATTTTTGAACATAACCTTCTCTCTTACACCCCTAGTTCCATTTCATTAAGTTAAACTTTAGTAATTTAAAGAGAGGCCCCTAGTTGGGCAGAAAATTATAAAAACATAACATAAGAAAGAATAAAGCTCAGATTAAGGCCCATTACAACAAAGAACATACAAGATAAAAAAGGATAAACACCCTATGGGCCATTCAGCCCATCTTCTCTATACTCCCCCTCAAGCTGAGCATAGATGTCAATCATGCCAAGCTTGCCAGTATCATGCTGAAGTTTAGCCTTGGGAATGCCCTTGGTGAGGAAATCAGCTAATTGTCCTTCAGAAGTGATGAAAGGTAGACACACCTCTCTAGAAGCCACTCTTTCTCGAATGAAGTGCCTTTCAACTTCAATATGTTTCGTTCTGTCATGTTGCACTGGATTGTGAGCAATGTTGATGGCAGTTTGATTATCGCAGTATAACATCATTGGCTTATCATGCTCAATACTCAGTTCCTCCATTAAGGATTTAAGCCACAGTAGTTCAAAAACTCCATGAGCCATGGCTCTGTATTCAGCTTCGGCTGAAGATCGGGCAACAACTGATTGTTTCTTGCTTCTCCAAGAGACAATATTACTTGCCACCAAGCTACAGTACCTAGAGGTAGATCTTCTGTCATCAATGTTTCCAGCCCAATCAACATCTGTGTAGGCTTCAAGTTTCATATGGTCATGCTTAGCAAGTAGAATTCCCTTTCCAAGGGAACCCTTCAAATAACACAGAATCCGCTCTACTGCTGCCATGTGAGTATCCCTGGGAGCATGCATGAACTAACTAATGCATCTGACAGCATATGCAATGTCTAGCCCGAGTCATGCATAGATAGAGAAGTTTTCAATGTAGCCTCTGGAAGACTCCCTTATCTTTCAACAATATTTCATCTGAAGCAGAGAGTTTATGACTCATATCAATAGGAGTAGCAACTGGTCTAGCATCCATCTTCCCTGTTTCAGAGAGCAAATCAAGTACATACTTTCTCTGAGAGATAAGGATCCCATATTTGGAACTAGCAACTTCTATGCCAAGAAAGTATCTCAATTCCCCCAGATCTTTGATCTCAAACTCTGTATGAAGGAAAGATTTGCGATCATTAATCCCTGGTACATCATTACCAGTCACAACAATATCATCAACATACACAATCAGGTAAACGACCAAGGATCCTCTCCTCTTCACAAAGAGGGTATGATTAGACTGTGTCTGTTCATAGCCAAAGCTAACAAGGGCAGCCCTAAACCTTTCAAACCATGCCCTAGGGGACTATTTAAGTGAAGGTATGAGAGATCCATCATATGGATGGCCGAACCCTACAAGAAGGTTGGGCGAAATTTAAAAAATTTCTCTCCCATGTGGGAATCACATTCCCTATTTTAGAAAACTACATTTTCAATGATCAATCTTAAAACCAAACCGGACCAGATCTGAAACCAAAAGGGAGGAGAGGGATATACCTGATACAGAGTAATGGTAAACCCCCAACGAAGGTGTTCACGACCAAGGAGAAGTCCAAAGACTACTTCCACCGAAGATGACACGGTGCAGGATGAAGCAGAATCAACAGGACGGTTCTTCAGCAAGAACCGAATTCTTTAGCAAGAATGTGATGGAGAGCTGGTGACCACGACTTCCGATTACCTTTTCTACCAAAAGGCAATATCAAGAACCTTTCTTGATCACTCCCACAAGTGGAGATCAAACTGACAGGGGCGGCACGAGCAGAAGATAGGATCCGTCAAACTGCAAATTCTTCTCTCTGTGATTTGTGAACTGAGAACTCTTGTTCTGTTTTCTTGTTGTGTTTTTTGGAGGTTCACCCTGCTCCTCTATTTATAGCCTTTAAAGAGAGGATCTCCTAATCCCATTAGGAGTTTCCTAATCCAAATCTTGTATTTGGATTTGGACTCTTTTTAAGAGATAAGGATAATCCCTTATCTTATCTGCAGATAAAGATCAGCCTTCCTAATCAAATTAGGAGTTTCTTGATCCAAATCTTTATTTGGATCTGGACTCTCTAAGTGGATAGGGATAATCCCTTATCCTATCCGCTAATCTAAATCCCAGAACCGCCCCTATTTAATTAATCTCATTAAGCCAATTCGAATTGGGCTTTAGGCCCATTAAGCTATGTGCTCACTTAACCTCCTAATCTGCTGCCCAATTGGTTATCCTTGTATGGCGTGGGACCCAAACATTGATCTACACATCAGCCACATGGGTTCAACCCAACCTTTGTTACAAGGCCTGGCCGAATTCACTGTAGGAGACAATGAACCCCTGAGTCCATCACCATGGTTTCTTAATGGGCCCAACATTTACACTAAATGGTCCTTGGGTCAAGCCACCTTATAAAAACCCAAGGACTGTGGGCAGATGCAAGATTAGCCCATCAGGCATTACCCTTAATGGTCCTACACTTAACCTCTCATCCCATAATGATCAAACACTGCACGACAAGAGAGGACCTCTCCCTCGGCTGCAAGGTACAGTGCTACACTCTCTACTCACATGGATCCCGGGAATTAAAACCTTTTGCAAACATTTTGAAACCATAATGTGTATATGTATATCTCTATATAAATATATTTTGCAAAACAAATTTCAACGGTTGAAATCGATTGCCGGCAATTTTGGTTTCCATCAGAGAGAGTGCATCCCCGATCATTCACTTTGTCCGACAAAGGGGCTGATCCTGTCACTACGATCACCCACTCAGGTGAATTCTCAGACTGTTCCAACATACCTAGGTTTTGACCCCCTCTAAGGATCTCACTGATTGGCATATCAAAACAGTCCAATCCGACACCTAGTGCAGTATCATAATCGAATCTAGGGGTTAGGTGCAACATTCCAGTTTTGCCCATCTATCTCCAAGGTCCAGGGCAATACTGGAATTCTGGTACGGTTCAAGGTTTCAAGAAAACCCATACTGCATGCACCTCAGGTCTCACCCTGGTAGCTGAGGCAAGCCACCCCAACCAACTTGGCGGCACACCAATGTTAGCCTTGGCAGGATAAATCTCCCCAGATCTATCCAATGGCTGTAAAGATTCTAAACTAACACGAGTCTCATATGTGTCCAGTTTAAGGGTATTACACAGAAACACACCATAATAACATGAATCAAATATGTACTTTATTCATTTACAATAAATGTCATAATGTACATAATTCTGATTGGAGCTAAGGGCATACACTGTCTAACATTAAGTCAATAAAGAGATTTTTTCAGCCTGCAAACCTTCCCTTTCATATCTGTTTCATACACCCTTGGAGGAAGAGACATATAGACCTCCTCATGTAACTCTCCATTCAGAAATGCATTCTTTACATCCAGTTGATAAAGTGACCAGTCTGAATGTGCAGCCAGAGATAGCAGAACTCTCACAAAAGTCATCTTGGAAACAGGAGCAAAGGTCTCTAGATAATCAATCCCATATGTCTGTGTATAACCTTTTGCAACCAGCCTAGCCTTGTAACGTTCAATGGTGCCATCAGC